GGAGACAGGGGATATGGGTTCCGAGGTGTAGACAGGTCAGTAGTTGTGGTTATGGGAGGTAGGTGTGACATTCTCTTCTGATTGCTTCTTCTTTTTTTTTTTTTCCATTGAAATCAGAAGCAAGACTCATCTGAGAGTGAGGATAGAGGAGGCAGTGTTGGAGGTTTGAAGAGACAGAAGGTATGAAGTAGTTGTTGTAAAGAGAGAATGGACTAGGGAGAGGGAGCAGGGTTGCTGGGCAGCACTGAGGACCTGCTTGAATCTGTGATCATGAATTTAGAGTAAGGCCAGGCAGCGTGGTGCTTTTATTTTTCTAGTCACATTCAGCTGCACGGATGTAGCTGGAGTAGGTGGAGAGTTAGGTGTTATTACCCGGATTGAGGTTTTTACCAGGCAAATGTGATGAAGGAGCAGTGAGCGAGAAGAGGGTATAAAAGGGCATGATTGTAATGACTGATCACAGAATTGAAGTTCCATGAAGAAGGAAGCAAGAGGAGCGAAGGAGAGGGAAAGGTATAGGGCCTGGGATTGTAGATCCTGGAGGAGTTGAAGACATGTTGGAGTTGGGAAATTAGAGAGAGTGAGCTGGAAAAGTAGGTGGTAATTATGGAGAATGGGGTGTTTGAAATTGAGCTTATAGAGAACATATAGGCGCAACTAAGATTGGGAATAACTGGTAGTTTAGTGACTGAGGGAAGCAAAGGACAATATCATTGGAGGAGAGCAGGTCAGTGACTTGATCTGATATATATAGGAAAGGTCATCTGTATGGGGATTGAAATCAGTAAGAACATTGACTGGAGTAGTATTACAGAGAGTGATAATAATCTAGGTGCTAAATCTTCATGCAGTTGGGGGGGCGGGTGGTGACATGGGCATTTAGAGATGAGTGCAGCAAGGCAGGGTGGCAGGTGATACAGATCAGTGGCATGAGCTGCAAAGCTAGGAGGTATAATGGCCTGGAAGTGACAGTGGAGAATAAGGAAGACACCTTCCTGTCTCC